ATCGAGGTTTGTGCAAACACAATGTCCATAAAACAGATTCACTCCCTCAGCGTAAGCACTTGAGATTTTTTTGACCGTCTGTTTCCCATAATACATTAGAGGACCCTGCAGAAGTTGAGCACTGAATTTCTAAATTGGTGAACTAAATTTGCATTTGAACTATACCACCAAAGCTTAGATAGAAAGACAGAAAATTATGGAAATTATTTTCAAACAATGAAAAAAATTTGTGCACAACAGAGAGGAAAACCAACTATATAAATAGGTTCTTATGTGAGGCATAATAGATTGGGAGTTATAGGTGTTACAACCTTTATCACCATCATTAACTTGACTGTTAAATTTCTCCATTAATAGATAATAACCATAGAAGCTTTAGGAGTTGAAAAACTATTTAGAAGAAAAAAATAAAATAAAAATTTATAGAAAATAAAGGCAAAACGAAGACGTTTCTATTAGGGCTGGACAAAACTCTCGAAACGAACCGAACTCGACGGTTCTTCTCAAATTAAATGCCGAACGGGTATTTGAATCAAGAACCGACGGGTATGGTTCGGTTCTCAGTTCTAGGCCAAGACCCGAAGAACCGAATAAGAACCGAATCTCCGTAATTTTTTTAATTAATTTATTTTAAATAAGTAAAATTATTTTATTTTTTCTAAATAAATTTGTTAACTAATTAATTTAGTTCAAACCACAAAATATGATTTTCCTATTTCTAATTTTCAGTTCAAAATCAACTTAATCAAATTTACCCCAATTTTATTCAAATATGTTATTCTACTGTAGTGTCATTTCTACTGGAGAAAATCGAATTAAAACTCCATAATATCTCTCTTAATTATTTTAAGCTCACTATCTTTCTCTTTCTGTGATTTTAATAATCAAATTTATGAAGAATTCAGCAAAGAGAGACGTGAAACATATAAGATTGAACTACGTTATTTTGTAAGAGCTAATATTGAACATATCATTAATTAAATTAACGTAACTTTGTATATATTAAAAAATTTAATTATAATACGGAACCGAATGGAACCGAACCGGATCGAACCGAACCGAATGGAACCGAACCCGAACGGTTCCGTAATTAAATTTGGACCCGACGGTTCCACTTACTAAATACTCGAAAATTTCGAGTTGGCTCGGTTCTCGTTAGAACCGAACCGAACCGGATCATGTCCAGCCCTAGTTTCTATGGGGCCAATTTTGATCTGTTCGATAGGACATTCGTGTAGGCATGTTGTATCTGTACACAAGTTCAAGGTCCAAAGTACTAATTTGGTCTATGATTTGCATCTATACACACACATGGAGAGAGCCTCTATACTAAGTATGATTACACCATTCCAAAATGTAGTCATATATAAACTAGTTATTGCCTTTGTCATTTTCTTACGTGGGACAAGCTAAAATAGTTTTCCTTTCTACACGTAAACATCTTCCAATAATCCACTTTGAACTCCAATTCCTCATTTACCTGATTATTATTTATGGCAGATAATTATATGATTCATGTTTTCAAAGATGAGAACACAAATCAACTTTGATCTTCCAAAATGAATGAACAGGTCCCACTCAAAACTATGCCAAAATTTGCCCAACTAAGTCATTTTCCCAACACATTAAACTTTAAAAAATAAACTTCTAAAAACTTTACAAAATAGTGTAGCCCTATGGTTGTTGTAGTGTTGGTGATTTAGGTCCTGGAAGTGGTGGTTTATGGTGGCAGAAGGTAGTGGTGGAGGTGGTATGGAGGCTCAATTCTGAGCGTTGTGGTGGTCGATAGGATGGGTTAGGGTTTTGCAGGTGGTGGCTTACTGTTGAGGCAAATCGTGCTGATCTTGTGGTGGTGGTGGTGAAAGTGATAAGATGATGGCATTGGTTAAACTTGGTATGTTACAAGTAATTGTGACGGTGACAGAGGTATAACATGGTACGTTACAAGAGACAGGGACAATGATGAAGATAGGAACTAACAATTTGTTACAAATGGTGACATTGAATAGGTAGTAATCCATTATAAAAAATTTGCTTTTTGGAGGAATATTTTGATTAGTTATCCCCCGTTTGGCCCACTATTTCAAATTTAATGAGTGGGATAGTGTTTATTTATTTATTTATTATTTATTATTTTTTTAAAAGAATGGGTGGTTCAAAAAGAAGAAATTATTTTCGATTTAGGTGTAATATTATTTATGAAAGACTATGGTTAGAAAGAAAAATAAAATTTAATTTAAACGGGGATTTAGTTTATTAGTGTGAAGCGACTAAATATATATACAAAACTATTTAGGGATTCTAGCCTAATTCCACATATTTTTATAGATTTTAGCGGATTTCAGGTTTATAACTTGCGTTTGATTTTTATGAAAAATAATAATGATACAATTTGTGCATAATGGTAATAAAAGTAAAAAAGACCACAAACTTAAATACACGTCACGCGCCCCCATTGAAATAAAACAATTTGGCTAATATTTATAATAACATAACAATATTTTCTAAAGTAAAATTTGTAACATCAAGTATTTCAGGATACGATAATTAAAATATGAGTTGAGGAAAACTTTGTTTTAAAGTTTTGCACTCACTAAATTATATAACTACAGATAAATAAATATAGACACGTGAAAAAAAAGGGTAAAGGGAGATCGGAGAGTAGGGTTGGACAAAACTCCCGAACCGACTCGAATCGAGCTGTTCCTTTTAAGTTAGTTAAATACTCGAACGGATATCTGAATCGAGAACTGACGGGTTCGATTTGGTTCGGTGCTCGATTCTAGATCAAGAACCGAATTTCCTTAATTTTTTTAATTAATTCATTTTAAATAAGCCAAATTATTTTATTTTTCGAAATAAATTTGCTAAGTAGTTAATTTAGCTCAAACCCAAAAATATAATTTTTCTATTTCTAATATTCAGTTCAAAGTCAACTTAATCAAATCGACCCCGATTTTATCCAAATATATTACTCTACCGTAATGTCATTTCTACTGCTCTGGAGAAATCAAATTAAAGCTCGACAACATCTTTCTTAATTACTTTGAACTCGCTTTCTTCTTCTTCTTGTGATTTTAACAATCAAGTCTATTAAGAACTCAGTAAAGAGAGACACAAAAATCACATAAAATTGGACTGTTTTATTTTGTAAGAGCTAAAATTAAACATATCATTAGTTGAATTAATATAATTTTGTAAATATTAAAAAAATTTAAGTATAATACAGAATTGAACTGAACCGAATGGAATCAAACTCGAACGGTTTCATAATTAAATTTGGACCCGACCGTTCCTCCTATTAAATACCAGAAAATTATGAATCCGATTCGGTTCTATTTAGAACCGAATCGAATTGGACCATGTTCAGCCCTATTGGAGAGGAGGAAGTATAAATGATGACCAAGGTCGGAGTTGGAGGCTCAGACATGTGATCGTGACATGGCACTTTGAATCACGAGCGTCAACGCATGGACATGATGGAAGTACTTGACACCATAACTATTCAACCCATAAAGACATTGTTATGCAAAAGCGAGAATATACAATATAAAAAATAAGAAATTCATCATATCATGAGTACAAGAGATCCATCCAATCCCTATGCTACCTTCATAATATTGGTTTCACCATATATATCACACCGTGAACATTTTGAGCCTCGTCAAATAGAATTTGGATCATCGTACTCTAATAGAGATGCCTTAATGAATAGTATGGTGGGTGCCACACGATCTCCATTTCTCCAGGTGAGTATCCACTTAATTCGTACCCATTGTGAGACAGAATTTTGGGTCTCACTTTGGATCATCGTACTCTAATAGAGATGCCTTAATGAATAGTATGGTGGGTGCCACACGATCTCCATTTCTCCATGTGAGTATCCACTTCATTCGTTCCCATTGTGAGACAGAATTTTGGGTCTCACTTTGGAGTCCTATACTTCAAAACATAAAACCCTAGTATAAAATGATATTCTTCTACTTTGACATCATCATTTTTTACTTCTACTCTTTTCATTCGATAACGAACTTGGAATTATTAATCCGATGGTACTTGACGCAATATTTTTCGATAATCCAAAAGGAATATTTAAGATACCACGGTTATCGATAATAATGTCAACTGCTTTAGTTTTAATTACATTCTTCATGTACATATATGCAACCGAATATATAAATGCAACATTTCCGATGATATCAAGGATGAAATTACCATCAACAGTTAATGATAGCGTTTCAGTGAGATTATTTCAGTGTCGAACAATTTGTCGATGAGTGGTGACACCACCACCTTGTTTATATGCACTATATTATCATAAATAATTACTGATGAGGTGCATCGATGATATTAGTATAGGTAAATCTTTTTTTTTTTCCCTTAAGCTATCTAAACCACTAACAAATATTAAATTTTCTTCATATCACTTACAATAATATCTTCAGTGAATACGTATATAACTTTTATTGGTGATTATTTGCTCAATTTAATTTGTTATTATTTTTTAAAAGATCCCATAAATTTATTTATTTCTTTATTTATTATTATTACTAATTTTTTTTTTTTTTTTTTTTTTGGGACTAGGGACCGTGAATTGATTGAGCAGCCTCTAAAACTCGTATATATCTAACACTTATACCCGTAGAACTAGGAGGAGGAGACAGTGAAGAGTAGAGAATCATAAGCTTCACCCATCTTACCTTAGCTTCTAGGTCAAAAGCATACCATTTGGAGCGAATGATAGTTGTTGCTTTCAGAAAATGGACCACATGATTTGGATGAGAAAGCTCTGCCATTTTTTTGGGATTTTAATTAGGTCAAAAGCATACCATAGTGGTTGGGATCTTCTTCCTCATCCAGAAGGAAAAACATACAAAATTATGCTCTTCCGATCACCTGGGTAGTTTTTATACAATCCCAGAAATTCAAATTAAGAACCTGCAGCAATTCAATCGAATGTAAAGTTTAGCCGCTCAAAACTGTACAATACCTTTTCACCCTTCAATAAAGTATCCATGGTATCGTTCTCAAATCAACCTTTACACTCTTCAACTATGAGCAAGAATATAGTCTGCAGTTCCAAAATTGAGTATTATGATATAATAAACTCTTCAATAATACATCCTAGATAATTACAGTCTCAACAGTTTATATCCCCTTTTCCCAAGGGTGGGATATTTTACATTTTCACTTCTAATTCTGTGCCTCCCAGTACATTAGTGATCTCTGCAGTTCCCGAGTATTGTTTGGGAAATTCGATAGACGAGGAGAAAACTCTCAAAACGAATACGCTTGCAGGTTGAACTTAAGAAAAGTATCACGCCCCTGAAAGTAAAGCAAATTTACAGATATCAGAAGTATACATGTTGACAACTCACTCTGCCCTCGCACGTTTTGAATGAGTTTGCCTCAACCAATCAACGCATTCGTCTGTAGATCCAGAGGGATGTGCGAGCTGCCACTCGAGCAGTTTTTGTTGCTGAAAGAAGGGAAAACAAATTTTATTATCAGTCATCAGCATACCATGCATAGTGTTAAAAGTTTGGCTAGATGAGCAAGAATAAGACATACCCATTCCTTGACTACGGGTCCTCCTGATTTGATCTCCAAGACATTCATGATATCCTTTCCATTCACCAATGGTTTCATTTCCCATACTTTCTCTAAACCTGCAGCATAAGAAAAGTAGACTCTAATCATTTGAAGGTTTCCATCAAAGAGAGATGGCAGGGATGGGTTTTCCAAGGGTGTGGCAGATTTTTGTTCTTTTTTCCACTTTTCAATTAATCTATATTAATATTTCTTGTAAAATAATTGAGTATATAGTAGTTTTCATTGTATTTTGAAATTCTCAATTTAATCAAATTTTATGGGCACAACAATGTTATTAATCAAAACTGTCATGTAAGTAATTGTGAAGACAATGGTGGAAGCATGTGAGCAATACCTAGTTCCAAAATTGCTTTCTCAATCCCCTTAAATAATTCGCCTTTCTTGTCCAATTCAGATTCCTCTTTTGATGAATTTGTAGTGCAACCAATAATGGATGGGTGCAACAGCATAGAAAGCACAAGGGCAGCACGCCAAAAATCTTTAATTTCTCGCAGCAGCAATCCTGAAGGTTTGAACAGAGTTAGTAAATATATGCATATTCAAAGACGAAAGTTATATTGGTCAAAAATATTATCCATTAGAAACGGAAGTAAATCAGTCCAGATTTGAAGTTTATGAAGCGTCTCATGTATCTTGCTTTCTGCATTTCGTAAAATGATGTTTATGCAGCCTCCAGAATTCTCAAGTCCCTGTACAATCCTATATTCCATGATTACTTACATTTGATGTCACCATAAATGAACAGCATGACTAACTAGGACGTCTGCCAGATTTAATAAAAGAGAACATAAGCACAAACCCTTAAGAATCAAGTAAAGATTCTGTATAATGGTAAGTAATCATAATTGAGCGCCATTTATTCAGAATAGATTTTGTGAAAAGTGATTTTTTTTAAAGTATGTATGATTAAGTAGGGGAAAGTTTTGGATTTACATGCAAAATTATTCTACAGGAAGAATGTGTGGTTAGGAATGAGTTTGTGGAAAAATGAGTTTTAAAGAATGGGGCTCAAATAGGGACCTAATGAAATTCAATGGATATATAGATCCCAATTACGAAAAGTAAACCAATCAAAGTTTTCAGTTACAATGAAGAGATATTTTCATGCTTCTAGCTAGTTTAGCAATTAACTCTATTTAATAGAGAACTGGTTGTTATAAAGTTCCCTTTGCCGTTAATACATTCTACTAGACCCCATTATGAGATCAACCAAAAACACTTATAGAAGATTATGGAATAGTTTCAGATCCCCAACTATAGTTTCAGAGTTATGATTATAGCTACATTTCTTAACATGAATAAATTTTGATGATAATAGTCTCAACATAAACACTGTTTGTTCTGGTTGGGCATATTTCACTCACTAAGAGATGAAAATTACACTTCCAAAATTCTATAGATAAGACAGGTCAGGTAGATCTCTACAAACAAGCACTATACATTTACTTAATATTCAATATATAATTTAGACAAAATGGTATGTGTGAATTTTCTGCAGGTGAGAGGCTGCATATTGAAGAAACAACATTCTGAGTTTTGAAGCATCAGGAGGATCAATATTCTGAGTTATTATTTAAGTGGAGACACTGTCACGTTATATTTAAGCGGAGAAAGAGGATTTTACCAGCCAATATTCTGAGTTTTGAAGTAAGACAGGTCAGGTAGATCTCTACAAACAAGCACTAGACATTTACTTCATATTCAATATAGACTTTAGACAAACGGTAGGTGCAAATTTTCCACAGGTGAGCAGCGGCATATTGAAGAAACAACATTCTGAGTTTTGAAGCATCAATATTCTGAGTTATTATTTAAGTGGAGACACAGTCACATGTTATATTTAAGCTGAGAAAGATCATTTTACCAGCCAATATTCTGAGTTTTGAAGCATCAGGAACATCAATAATTTCTCTTTTCCAGTCAACTTCGAGAATTTGTATATCCTCATTAGACAGGATCAAAGGAATCAAGGATACGAATTTTTCCGCTGCAAAATGCAAACTCAGAACCTGTCCATCAATTACAATTCTATTGATAGTAAGAAACTTCCCCATTAGCGCAGAGAGAGAGAGAGAGAGAGAGAGAGAGAGTATGATCTCTTGATTCCAAAAAGTAAGCTAACATGCAAAACATTAAAATATAATAATTAAACATAGTGGTCAGTTCGTACAGTTTCAGCATCACTAGCCTTCAGCTTGAGAGAATTGCGAAATATGTAACTCACAACTGGGATCTGTCAAAATATGAATTAATATCAACAGAAATTAGAGAATAGAAGGAACCAAAAAAAGAGTCTCAAATCAACTTTATGATATCTGTCATGCACAATAGTAAATGACAAGGAACATCCAAGAGAAACATAGGAAATTATAGTTTGTAATTACATTCATCATAATTTTACCTTTTTCCCTTTCTTGTCTGTGTAAATAGTCTTCCTAAAGGGAAGGAAAAAAGCAGCATACAGGCATAGCCTTCTCTGGTCATCCTAAAAATCACAAGAAGAATGTGAAATGGAAATACCTTACAAATAAACCTCCTATTAAGGATAACAAGTGCCAGTGAAAATTAACGAGGAATTCTGCAATTATGTTATCCTCAGTTTATTGGAGAGGATATTCTCTAGCCTACTAGATACTATTTTACTTGGCTTATACATAAATCATGAAATAAAATAAAGGAGCATGCAAGCAGTATTAAAACATTTTACATTTGTTCAGCAAATAGAAGGGCTCTATATTTTATTTATAACCGGCACTAATTACTTTGAAGTAGATTCTGCATATAAAAAGTCTACTCCACTTGAATTGGGACCAAATCTCGCTACACAACTTACCAATGCCAACTGAATTTCTCTTCCTATATAAGGACACTGCTATATCTCGATCAATATAAATAATGCAAGGAAAATAATTATATTTTATAACAATAAACATACAGTCACTCCACTACTCACAGTGAATGAGGAGAGCTCAAGTAACTGCAAAAGTCTCCATGTGGAATCCATGCAAGCAACACAAAGCCTGGTCAGACAATTTAAAAAAAAAAAAGAAAAGTAAGATCTTGAAGCACGTGGTCACAAGGAGCACTCACAAAGATACATGCAGATTAAAACAACTAAATATATATAAATATTTATAGATAGATAGATAGATAGATAGATAGATAGATAGATAGATAGATAGATAGAAGTGCAACTTAAACTATATTGAAGTGATTTATTAATCATCGACTCCTCTTCGAGACACCAAGTTCAAAGAGACCCACAAGCATTCACATAAATAATAAATCTTTGTGAGATATTTCTAAATCTAGTTTGTTTTTCTTCTGATTTTTGTATCTGCCATCTATTTTAGTTGTTTACCAGAGCATTATGATCAGCAACTGTCCCGATGCATAAAGCACAAATTATGACATCAGAAAAAGAGCTTGACGAAACTTATATTTGGGGCAACAATTCAAAGATTTAGTTGGCAAAGCTAGTACGAGGACAAGAAAGTGAGTTGGAAGAATGCTCAAATGCCTGTATAACAAGGCTAGCAAATCAAGTAAAATATTTCACAGCATTCATACCATAATAATCCACATTGGAATTTAAATAAGCCCCTGTTTGATACAAATTAAAATCCAAATTTTAATCTAAGTCAAAGCCACACACTTTATGGGACCCACAACTTTTTAACCACACATTTCAACAACTTTTATCAAAATCTACTAAAAATCTGATTTTAATCCCCACCAAACAAGGGCTAAATAAAAACTATTGGAGAATTGGAGCTTCAACTTCGCCGAATTCCAAATACACAGCTTCCCAACTGCTACCGCATAAAATTATATTCAATATTAACTTACTAGAAACCACCATTATCTCCTTTCTTTTACTAAAAGGAAATGGATTAATAATGAACTTTAGAACAAGGAAGAAACCTTTCACATCCTTCTGAAGTTGAAGGCTCTGGCTCAGGAGGAAGACTAAATACTGCCCAGAATAACTGCAGTTCAGAAATATATGTCATTGCTTTCACAGGATGATTGCCAGATATCATGAGATCAATCTGTTCCATGAGACGTAAGAAACAAACCAACGTGAACATGTTAGTACCAGGCAAAAAAAATGACTGGAAATTTTGAGAACATATTGATCCACACAACAAATAATACAAGCATACTTCATGACCAATACGTTCTCTACTAATTTTATCTGCAATAGCGGCTTTGACTTCATCATCTGCAGCAGCTATCTTCAGTTCTTCATCTAGCATAAAACCAAACCTCGCACCTAAAGAATCACGATCAGGTTGGCTTCTGACATAAGAGATTTTAATTTTAATTTTATGTTATAAATTAAATAACATATTTTCTGCAGAATCATATCTTCACACCATAGCACTTGCTAATGTAATTGGTAAAAAATCATCATTTCTGCTTGCTAAGGCGTGAATAATCTAATTTAAAGACTTTAGAACATTGTAACATGTGAACTACCAAATCGGATAGCTCGAAGAACACGCAGAGGATCATCCAAAAACGTCTGCTTTGGAGGCAATGGGGTCACTATTTTTCCCAACTTCAAGTCCATAATGCCTGTATTTAAAGAGAAAGGGAGTTTTGGGGGGGGCGGGGTGGAATTATTAGTGAGGGTGAATTTTTTTTTAACATGAGTAGCTTGATTTGACTGACTGAACTAGTAATGGCAAAAATGTACTAACCTCTTCCAGTTAAATCTTCAACAGAACTTGTGTTGATATTGTAGAACAAACTGTACAGTAGCAATTTCAGAAGGGGGCAAAAGAATCAGCCTATTCTACACATTTCAATGATATCAAAATAAATGGATTATAAAACCAAGAACAGGAATGGAATAATAGCACTACAAAGAAAGAATGCAAATAACTTGCATATTTTCTAAAGTCGAATTACATGAACATACATAGGGGATACAACAGTGTTTCTTTATTCTAGGACTGTTTACTGTGTTTAGATAACAAGATCAAAACTAATTAATTCATTCAATAAGTAATCCTAAAGTTGAGGAAACAACTCCTATCGTAACAATATGGAACCAAATCAGGAACTTTATTTCAAAATCTTCAATATTCCCCCTCAAACTGGACTATACAAATTGAATAATCCCAGCTTGTTCAACATTTTTTCAAATAGTGGTTCAAACAACACTTTGTTAACAGATCCGCAACTTGCTTGGATGAAGGTACATATACCATACAGATAGTCCCATCTTCTATCTTCTCCTTGATGAAGTGTCTGCCTACCTCCATGTGCTTTGTCCGATCATAATGAACGGGATTATTTGAAATTGCAATAGCCACTTCGTTATCACAGTAAACTTTCGTAGGCTCTGGTCTTACAATTTTAAATTCATTTATTAATAGTTTTAGCCACATTATTTCACAAATGCCATGAGCCAAAGCTCTAAATTCTGCTTTTGCACCACTCCTAACAACAACTGTTTGCTTCTTGCTTCTCCAAGTGACTAAATTACCACAAACAAATGTACAACATAATGTTGTAGACCTCGTCTTTCACTGATCCTGCCCCATCTACATCTGTAAATGTTTCAATAGCTCTCTCAGAATTCTTTCTAAAAAATAAACCAAGTCCTGGAGTCCCTTTTAAATATCTCAAAATCTGATTAACTACTTCCATATGTTCTTTATAGGGAGATGCATAAACTGGCTCACGACAGTAACAACAAATATAATATAAGGTCCAATATGAGATAGGTAAATAAGGTTACCTACTAGAAGTTGAGATATACCTTTATCAACTGGAGTACCTTAAAGACAATCTCCCAACTTATGATTCGGATTCATAGGAACATCAGAAGGCATACCAACAAACCTACATGTTTCTTCTAAAAGATCAAAAACATACTTCCAAGACAGAGATACCACTACTGTTTCCAGCAACTTCCATCCCCAGAAAATACTACAAGGCACCCAAATCTTTTATTTCAAATTCGGTTGCAAGAGCTTTCTTTATTTCTTCATAGTTGTCGCCTGTTAAGAGCAATATCATCCACATAAACTATTAGACAGGTAATCTTTCCTCCTAAGTACATGTAGAGAACGTAGTATGATTTGATTGGGCTTGTTTATATCCTTGTTCACAAACAGCTTTCAAAAATCTTCCAAATTAAGCTCGAGGAGATTGTTTTAGCCCACGTAACGATTTTTCTAGCTTACATACTTTCCCATGATCCTTTACTTCATCAAACCCAGATAACAAGTCCATATAAACTTCTTCCAGGTCACCATTTAAAAAAGCATTCTTGAGTCAAGAGTTTCCGATCTAAATTAGCTACACGAGACAATAGGACCCTTACAGTATTTAATTTTGCAACTGGAGTAAAGGTCTCTGATAGCCTACCCAAAAGATTGAGAATATCCACTTGCTACCAATCTCACTCTATATCATTCTACCGAGCCATCTACTCATATTTAATTGTAAAGACCCATTTGCACCCCACCATTGACTTCTCTTTGGGCTTCTCCACAACTTGCCATGTTTTATTTTTCTTAAAAGCTACAATTTCTTCCTCAACTGCTTTTCTCTACTCTGGAATAGACAGCTTCCGGAATGAATTTTGGTATCTCTATTGATGATAGATTAGTAGCAAGAGCTTGGACAGATTCAGACAAGTGACTATAACCAAAAAAGTTGGATATCGGATGTTGAGTACAAGATTTAACTCCTTTCCAAAGAGCTATGGGAACATCCAAATCATTAGTAGCATCAAAATGAGGGGTACAATTCTTACCTGAATTTAGTTCAGATTCATGGCTATGCATCTAATCCATGAGATGTTCTACTATTTCTGGATTTTTTCTCCTTGACTAAACATGTAGCTTAGGAGGCGCAACAAGTTGTTTATCTTTCCCTATCATTAAACTTGGCTGCAAGGAAGAATTAGTAACATGTGGCTGAGAAAGCAAAGGAAAACTTGATGAAAGAAGCTCTGATGAAGGAAAATTTGATGAAGGAGATGAAGGTTTGGTTAGTTCAACTCTTGAGAGGAAAGGCTAGAAAGATGACTCAACATCCCAAAAATACCCATCTGTATGATTCTCATATTTCTCCTCCTGAAGGGAATTTTGGAAGAAATAAGGTTGAGATTCAAAGAAGGTAAAATCCATAGAATTATAATATTTCTAAGTCTTAGTGGAGTAACATTTATAGCCCTTTTGAGTAGGAGAATAGCCTAAGAAAACACACTTTCGAGCTTTAGGATCCAATTTAGTTCTTTCATGATCATAGATATGTGCAAAGACAGTACAACCAAACACTTTTAATGGTATTAAAAGAATAGACCAAATTTGAGGATATATAGTAGACAACAGATTTAATGGTGTCTCAAAAATTATGGACACAAGTAGGCATTCTGTTTACAATGTATCAAGCAGTCAGGACAGCATCTCCCCAAAAATATTTTGGAACACAATTAGTAAACATGATAGCTCTAGTAGTTTCAAGAAGGTGGCGATTTTTTTCTTTCAGAGGTCCTATTGTGTTGAGGGGTTATGATACGAGAACTTTGATGAATGATTTCATTTTCAATTAGAAAAATTCCAAGAACACGATTAAAATACTCTTTTCTGTTATCCGTTTTCAAAATTTTTAAGATTGTATCAAATTGGGTTTTAATCATGGAATAAAATTTTTTAAAAACTTTTGTAGTTCAGATTTATCTTTTAATAGATACACCCAATATACCCTCGTATAATCATCAGTAAAAGTGATAAACCAACGTTTGACAATAATGTGCTTAATCTTAAGAGGACCCCCATAGATCCCTTTGAATCATAGTAAATGGCAAAGATGATTTATAATTATGAGATGGAAATGAAGAATGAGAATGTTTGGCCATTTGACAAGTATCACACTAAAAATTGTCATTATTATGAAACAATGATGGAAGCAAATATTTAAGATAAGAAAAACTAGGGTGGCCTAAACGGTGATGCCATAACAATATTTGTTGCTCTCTAGGAATAGACTCACAACTTGTGGTTTGAGCTTATTTACTTAAGTTGACTTCATCCATGAAATAATATAGTCTCTCACTTTCTTTAGTCTTGCTAATAGAGATCAAATTGCTAGACAGATTTAGGACATGCAAAATAGATTTTAATTCAAGTGTTGAACTCAGCCTTACTGTCCCGATGACAACTAAGGACAGAGAGCCATCTTCAATTTTTACTTTATAATGTCCAGAACTTGGTGAGTAGGAACAAAAAAAAAAAAAATTCCACAACCCTTCATGTGATCAGTGGCTCCAAAGTCAACAAACCAACGTTCCACATAGCGTTTGCTAATTAATGCTGACATAAAATTACTTTGAGCCAACAATCTAGAGGAAAGGCTCAAAGTCTAGAGGAAGTCGGTAGATTTAAAATAGGAGTAATGAGTGTATAAAGCTGCTCAAGTTGTGCCTTTGTAAAGGGAAAATGAACATATTTAGATTGGGTATTGGCAGGAGAGGCTTCGATAGAGCTTTGGAACTCAATCAACTCACGAGATCGAGGTTCATTGCATTGGTTTTGGTTCTGCCTGTCGTCGTCATGGTTCTATTGTCTTCTGCTTAGTGTTTTTTCGTGCAACTGCCCGGAGTATGGTTGGTGCTCTCACAATGGTCGCAGGCATAGATTATTTCTCTTGTTCGACGAGAGTTAATGATGCAAGATCAGGGATGATTCCTGCAGAATAATTAGAAATAGCAAAATTGCACAACTAGCAAGCAGAATTCCAGCGAGAAGAAGAAGAAGAAGGCAGCAAGAAGGGGGAAAGGGCCGAAGAGAAAGGGGGAGAAAACCAGAGAAGAAGTAGAAATCAGGGAAAAGGGAAGAAGGAGGGAGCCATAGGCAACAACCCAAGCATTCTATTCTTTAATTCATCAATTCATCAACTGTCTCAAATACGCAACAAAATAGAAATAAATAACAAAACAAAAACCCTAAAGAGAAGGGTTTGGGCGAAACCCGCTAAACAAGCCCAATAACAGAAATATAAATAATAATCCTAATAGAATATAACTAATAGTCCAAATAAAAAATAAATAGTAAATGAAAGAAAATAAATAGTAAATAAATGTCCGCATCAGTTTACCTGTCCACAAAACGGTAAGAGCAAACTTTTCAGAGATGGGATTCCTAGGTTCACCGAGCATGACACGTTTCCGACTAGCCTCCCAATGAACCTCAGCAAAACCTCATCAATCACGGGCGGCAGTTTCATTGCTAGCAAACATTTAACCCAGCCAAAAAATCATAGATTCTTTCTTTCTCAACATGTTTTCTAACTTTTCAGCATCTCCAGGATTTTCCCAATCAATTATGACGAACATATCGATCTCCTTCCAAAGCTTCTAGAGTGCACTATAGTATTGGGTGTCATCAAGATCTTGTTGAAGATTGCAAACTTGGTTTCGAAGTTCAAAAAATTGGGACGAGTTGTCTAAATCTGAGAACGCAACAGTAAGGGCATCCCAGAGACCCTTAGAAGTAGAAAAATACAAGTAATACTCTTTAATCTCCTCTTCCATAGAGTTGACAATCCATGCCATCACCATAGAGTTCTAAGCATCCCACATAGGAAGGTTAGGTCTTGTTCTTCTACTTTGGTGGTGGTTCCAATCGTAGCCAAGACACCCACGCCCACGAATGACCATAAGAGCTGAACAGGACCATTGTACAAGTGGTTGTGATCTGTAAGGAGTTCTTCGAGAGAGTGGCGGGGGTAAAGAGCGGCTAATTGTAGCGGATGCACTTGTAGAGAGGATCAGATGTCTCCGTAGAAGCGCCGGAATCCTCATCTCTGCGTGCACTAGTCATGGCCGTGTTGATCATTCAGTTCTCAAACAATTACGGGCTCTGATACCGTAAATCCAGGAAAGGGAATGGAATAATAGCACTACAGAGAGTGCAAATAACTTGTATATTTTCTACAATCGAATTACATGAATATATATAGGGGATACAACACTATGTTTCTTTATTCTAGGACTGTCTAATGTATTTAGATAACAGGATCAAAACTAATTTTAATTCAATTAATAACTAATCATGAAGCTGAGGAAACAACTCTTATCCTAACAATATGGAACCAAATCGGGAACTTTATTTTGAAATTTTCAACAGAGTAACGTATTCCCAGGTATATCATCATACACACTTGGAAATGCACACGTGGTACCTATGGGGATAAAATATCAAAATCTATTGCTATTCTAAACTCGGAGACCGGAAGGAGAAGAAGAAACAAAAAGAAGACCATAAAAATTGAGGAAGCTAAAGTATTCATTTCTGCCCTGCTATAGAGCTTGCTCTAGTGTCGTCAGCAAACTACAGATAATAGAGAAAAGTACCTATTGATGGTTAAATCCCTGCGATAAGCATCCTCTTCTGCAGTGCCAAATTTCTACAAAAGAAATGTTAAGTAAAATATTTTCACTTATTAAGAAGCTTATAATGCGCCAATAATTTAAAGAAATACAAAAATATGAAATTGATTTTTTGGCAAACATGCACGACATGTCATCGAGGAAGCATGCCCAGAGAGAGGGAGGCAAGTGAAACGATAAACTAAATTTGGATCTTTATATTGCATAGGCAAATCTACTTCCAACGGTTCCATGCAAAATATGCAATATTCAGCATTTTGGTTAATAGATTTCATATTTTCCTGAGAAAAATACACAAGAAATTTCAAAAATATTTACCATAGTTGGAATCCGGCTATTCTCACTATAGTCTTCAGATCTTAAGTTGACAAAATCAATCCATACATCAAAAAGGCGCATCCTAGCTGTTTCCAAATGTTTTGACTGGTCAGGATTGCTACAAAACCAAAACAATGCTATTAATGAATAACTTCCACTGTGAAGCAAAAATTACATACAGAAACGGCTTTCCTATGGAAACAATTGAAAAGTAGTCAAAGTAAAAATAGCAGGACCACAAATGGTGAATATTTTTCAGCAGATAAAAGAAGAAGAAAAGTTGATAAAGGAAACACTTGGAGCAAGCAAATAATCATTTTAAGTAAAATTTTGTAGAAAAATTGCATCAATCCTCAATAGTTGTTGAGTAAGAAGAGTTTCCTAGATTATTTTATAACCAAATAAATGTCAACAAATTGCAACAGAGCCACATAATACCCTCACGGTTGAAAAATAAAAACAGAAGAAATGTACCAACATCTGTACCATGTAAAACTTCGAACCGATGTTTTTACGCTCGGCTCGGACATTGAAATGGAAAAGTAGAATGTCAAAGGTCGGATAGGTAGTAAAAAAAAATTTTAAAAATAATTATACTTAAACTTATTTAAAATATATATATAAATATAAGTGCTCAATCCAAAACGACTCTAATCGAGCCTTCTATGAACGCACTAAACACATTGAGGTTGATTGCCAGTACATTTGAAAAATAAAAAATAAAATAAAAATTCTAAAAAAATAAATTCTAAATATTTTTAAAAAATAAAATTCTACATAGAAAATTTTGATAAATTCTAAAAATAATAAAAATTTTGAAAAATATAAAATCTAAAATTCTTAAAAATTAAAATTTTAAAAATAAAGATTTTAAAAAAAATAAAAATTCTAGATCAGTAAAAATTGTATCAGCAACTTTGATTATGATGTAGTTGCTGATAAGAAAAAGGGTGACTAATCGTTGTTTACATAAAATTCTTTAAAAAATATATTTTATGAACATAGATAAAATATCTCACTTTATGTCATCAATTTTTGTTTTTTCCCCGATGTTTTGCAAATTCATCTTATTGTTTGTTTTTATTTTACTTTTATGATTCACCAATTTTAAAATGTATATAGTATTTGATAAAAAAATAAAAAAAAATAAAAAAAATTCTATTTTATTATATATATAATTTGATCGAATTAAATGTTATAAAACAATTTTTCAAAATTCAAAACAAATGTTTTTCTAGTTTTCTATTTTGAGAAGCAACTTTTCAAACTGAGAAATAGTTTCTCAATCTGAAAAATCAAACGCGTTTTTAGCAATATTAAAACAGACACTCGAAACAAAAAACTCAAAATGAACTCAAAACTGTAAGCTGAAACACAAACCAAATGGGCCTTAATATTTCATTAATAAAAACAAAAATAGTATAAATAACCAAACAATAAGATTTGATGTTAATTACATCCATAACAAAAGGATATTAAAATTTCTACGTTGCCAATTCCAAAGCAATTAAAAAAATTAAAATTTCACCCCTATTTAGTGGATATTAATATAAGATTTTTAATTGATAAAAGTTAATAAAATGTGTAGTTGAAAAGTTACGAACTTTATAAAATATGTGTTTAAAATGAATTGTTGATTTTGACTTTGATAAAAAAAAGAAAAAAAAAAAAAACTAGATTATAATATCTATCAAACAGGGGCTCAATATTAGACTGAGCCCTATTTTTTCTCCATTCTTGTACCACCATTATTAGTATCTTTAAATACCATTAAATCTTATCTACTCAATAAAATAGCACCCAATGCCCACCCATTACTCTATGAGCAGCACAAAGCCCCCATCAGATTCCATTTTCATCTAGTGCACTTTTACTGGACTCTCTTCCCATCTATGTAGCGACCAACAAAACACCATATCAACTTATATTAAATCCCAAAACTTCAAGAAATACCACTCAAATTAAGATCCATTTCCTATTTAATTGCTCCTATGAAGGCAATAGAAATGGCGAAAGCATGGTACCAATTACCAAGATGAAAGCGAACATGGTACGATTTTTATTTTTATAGTAAACTGTAAAAACCATAAACAATGGCCTGTTCATGGGTACCTAGTTGACCAGTTGTTTCCAGGGTTTTCTTCAGATGACTTTTTCCTTCAAACCAAACCAGTTTACAGACCTGGTTCCCCATTTTTCTGTAGGACCAGCCTGTCCGGTCCAATTTTAAAAGCATTGCTTACAATATTACCATCCAATAAAAAATAAATGATATGTTATTTATGTATTCACTTATTCACTTAAGTAAAAAAAATAAAAAATAACAAAAATCTGCCAACATACCAGTAATTCGGACGAAAAATTGTCACCAACAACTTATTCAGAAACATTATCTTCAACTACACTCATATAATTGATACTTATGTATTCAATTAAAATAAAAAATAACAAAAATCTGAAAACATACCAGTAAACTGGATGGTAAATTGTCACCAAAAACTTATTCAGAAACAGAATTTTCAACCACACTCATATAATTGATACTCTTATAAATACTAAGGTACAAAAAGATTTCCTGTAAACTGCACAATCCAAAAAGAGGAGAAAAGGGAACATACCTCTGAATGACACCAATACCATGTGTCTCTTCCCCTGTTGATAATAAGTACTCATTTACTTTTTCACAGAACTCCTTTCCTAACATGTTGTCCAGTGCAATGTCAATATCATAACATTCTTTGCCCAAAAGCTGTAAGATTAATGATGAATATTGAGTAGAGCACAAAAAAAATAAAAAAGAACGTTGCAGATCAAAGTAAATCAACTAGTTAAGAAACTTATTTTCCATATAGGAAAAAGAAAAAGCAATCTTTCTGCTATATTCACCCACATCCACTCCTAAATTAAAATACAACACTGCAGGTAGTCATACAAGTTAAAATATATGTATTTATAAACTAGACAATCAGAGGATGAGTTCTGAAGCTCGCATAAACACATATTAGAAGTCATAATTTTCACGTCGAGGAACAAAGTACGTAAGAAACTATGTAGCTCCACCACAATAGCGTTTTACCAGAAAATAAGGAGCAAATTTCCAAACAAAGGTATAATCTCCCATCACGCACTTCAGCATTTGTACCTAGCTGTAGCATTATAAGAACGGTATCTTAAGAACCCAAAAGGCGCACAAGCATAAGCATGTAGGCATACAATTATATACCCTCTTCCACCAAAATCATACTTTAATTCATTTTTTACCACAAAAAACGATAAATTGTAATGACCTTATCGCGAACCCAGCCGCCCGCAACACGAAGCTGGGTTTGGAGATTGAAGTGGCGCAGAACTTCCAGAAGACGGTCGAAGATTTGCTTCTCCTTAGCCGTCAGATCGATTTGGTCCTTGACATTATCACACACCGAAGATGTACACATTGTTGCCGTTCCTAAATCAGTTTTTGCGAAACTATAATTATAATAACAAAAATATTTCAAACGGCGTTTTGAAATTTGATTAAAATTGATTGTTCGAGAAGAAATAGAGCGGAATTTCAGGTTCTGGGATGGGAATTTCAAAGAGTTTAAGAGAAGGGAAAGAGCGTTTTGGAAATGGAAGAGACGATGAGTTTCTAGGTACAGTTTCATTCTGCTTCTGCTTATTTTGAGAAAGTACTTTTTTTAGATAATCAAAAACTGTACGACGAGTATATTTTATAATAAATAATTTTTTATTGATTAATTAGAAATTAATTATTTATTTATCCACACTCGGTCTAGATTTTATTCTGTTTTGTTAAAATTTTACTTTTAAAAAATGAATGATAAATATGTGAATATTACATGTAATTTTTACAAATATTTGATTCTTTAAAGTAGAATTTTCTTTCTATTCATGTAAAATTTATTAGTAACTTTTAGAAGGAAGATGAATAGATCCCCGAAAATGTATTAACAATAGGGTAATTGGCACAAAACCTCCCTATCCTTCGAGTGTATTGTGGAAAACATCTCTACTTTTCATTTTTTGACATTTTTGTCCTTATTTCCACCTTTCTTTCCGTTGAAGGTCCTTTTCACTTTTTTTTGTGTAAAATGATCAATTTGCCCTCCTATTTAAATAAAAGAAAAAAGAAAAGAAAAGAAAAAACTTACAATTATAGGCGAAATTTCTAAAAAAGTGCAAATGCCCTCTAAAACTTCACCTTGTTCTCACATTTCACCCCACGCCATCGTCATTTGCCAGCATTTTTAGTGACCTTCCGGTCAGTTTTATCGTCGGACCAATATACCAACTTGAAGCACTCACTTCCCCCTTCACAACTCACCCAACCAATGGCCGGAAATCTAAAGGAATTGGTCGAAAAATTGTGCCAAAATAGGCTGCTCACGCAACTTCAACAGCAAATTTGACAAATTCAACTCCATTTTTCGGACCCGACGTCATGATCGACAACGACGGACCACCCCTCCTAGCACCGCCTCTTCAAGGAAAACCTAATGAACGTATGGGTCATCGTCGGTTTTGACCAGAAATTGTAGAAACAACCTCAACAGTTCGTACACAAAGAAACTCGGCCAATCCCCTTTCGATTGATGATACTACAAGACTTCAATCCACCAATTCTATCATGTACAACTATGGGTCCTCCATCAATTGCATCAATTCATCAACCAAACGAACAATTTTCAAGATTGAACTCAAGAACTACCGGTCGAACACGAACTCTGATTTCTGGTTATAGATTTTGATTTTCAACTTTGTTTGATGATATGGAGACATCTATAGGAGCACAATGAAGAGCATAATCGACCTGGAGGATAAGTGTGCCATGGGTGTCATCGGATATGGAGTTTTTGGCCTCCATTTTCGGGCGTTTCATATTGCATGAGCAGCCTATTTTGGCGCAATTTTTCAGCCAACTCCTTTAGATTTCCAACCAGTGGTTGGGTGGATTTTGAAGAGGGAAGTGAGGGCTTCAAGTTAATATATTGGTCCGACGACCAAGCTAATCGGAAAGTGGCTGAAAATTGCCAGCAAGTGACGGTGGCGTGGGGGTAAAGTGTGGAAAGAAGGTGAAGTTTTTTTTGGAGGGGGGTTGCACTTTTTTACAAGTTTCGCCTATAATTATAATTTTTTCTTTTCTTTTCTTTTCTTTTTTCTTTTATTTAAATAGGAGGGCATATTGGTCATTTTACACCCAAAAAAACAGTGAAAAGGATTTTCGACATAAAGAAAGGCGGAAATATGGACAAAAATGCCAAAAAATGAAATGTATGAACGTTTTCCACAATACACTCGAAAGGTAAGGACGTTTCGTGCCGCGTAGTAGTTATTTTTCAGTGAATCCCACACACATAGGAGTTCATTGACAACTAACAGTAATAACGAGTAAAATAATATCATTCTTACAAAGTTTAGAGTTTATCTTAATTTTGATCAATCTAAACATAAATTAAATACACACAATCGATTATTGAAATCAAGTAGCAATGATTTTAACTACACCTTATGATTTTAAAACGTGATTTTATGAGGAAAAAATCAAGTAAGAAAATTGTGCTAGGAATTTGATTCTACATTAGTATACACTATAATTGTCAATTTCTCACTTTTAATCAAACTAGTCAAAGTTGAACGTACATTGCACGTTATTCTAAAATATTTTATAAGTAATATCTGGTACCAATTTGTTAGAGGATTTGATGAGTCTTGGACAAATTAATGAAAATAAAATTTAGCATAGAATTTTAAGAGAAGAAAATTGTACTCTCAAAACTGAATTTCTATGATTTAAATTTTTTTATAATGATGAAATATTATAAATGAACAACCTTTTTATATTACATTCGATACATAAAAATTAATTGTTAATACATAAATTTAAACACCATTAAATTTTTTAGATACGTAAATATGAATAAATTCATCTATAATAACTCTAAAATCATGTAATTCAAGATTCACAAAGTGAAAATTCATTGAATCTAGGTTAACATGAATGTTACTTAATTGAAAATTAAAAACATAAATTTCATGACAGAAATTATGTAGTAGTTATTACATATTGAACAACGAAAAGTAAAGTATTATTGAAATAATTGAATTGTATAGGAGTTAAAATCATTCAAAAAATGATTCTCCCCTGATGTGATATTTTAATATATTATAGAATTATAGATTTATGGTTAAATTTGACCATAATATTTTTAAGTTGTCAAACAATCTTTTTCAAGTAAAGTTAAATATATTCTCGTGTACGATCCAAATTATTCTTTCCCGAATCTAAGTATATAAAAACGTATTCCAAAAAGTGATGTTCACCTCAAAAAGTGTGCCTCTAGGTGGCCAACAGATCCCAAGACGACCTCTCACGTCCGAACAAGCCGTTTTTCTGCACGCTAGAACAAACCGTTAGACACACGTGGCCTTCTCCAGTGGGAGTAGAGCTGGCCTGCGTACTTTGACGGTCAAGTCAGTTGGGGAAGATATATGTGAGTGTGGAAGAGCTTTTTAACGTGAGCCTCCAGTATAAAATAAAGTGGGTTGGAGTCGGGAGTAGAAAATATAGAGAGCAAAGTTATAGCATCAAAATCTAAACTTGCATTACCTCTCAATGACACTAAATGTGAGCTTTTATAGTATGAGATAGTGAGTGAAGACCGTCACATGAGAAGACAAGTGGCCTCATTCATGTGGGCACAATCTCCCATCATGGGAATCAATCAATCATAAGACTTGAATGGTAATATCGACTTGCCTTTCAGAGTTCATAGTTTGCGGCCATAAATTCAACCAAACAGGTTGGCAGTGTCAAGGAATAGTCAAATTAGTCATGTCACTAGAGTTGATTTAGGAAATCTCTTGTCAATCAACCTTCTTACTAATCTCGTTTCTTTTGCCTGGGTCCCTGTGGGACGGTTCACCTCCACAGGTTCGGGTGTGTTGATTCAGATAGGAATGGGTTCGATCTTGAGGTGTTCACCTATTCGGCTAGTTATCCCATGGGTTCGGCTGATAAAGTGTGCGGAGCGCCTATGGTTTCGCTTGCCACGTGGTGTGTTCCACCTACCACGTGGCGTGTTTTGGGCCCCTATTGAAAAAAGGGTATAACAGTTATTATCCAATTTTACTTGCACAAAGCATAGACAATTATCTCTAACGTCCATATGACTTTTTTGTTGGTTCTCAGTTATGAGCTAAACCTACTTTGAACCTCTCGAAAGTAAAATAAGTCACAAATGTATTTTCAAGTTGTTCATTCCTTCAAATGACAATCAAACTATTGACAGCAATCAATCCAACATAAGTTGAGAATCTAAAAGAAGAATTCTTGAATTACAATTTCAACTAATGGTTTATATCATCATCTTATGCACAAGAGTGTCAGCCTGTCATGTTTTAGTTATAAGAACACAAAATAAATTGAGAATTTATCACTCGGAATATTTAATTGCAAGAAAATTTTGAATATTAATTTTTGTCCTCTTGAATGTCTCCAATGGAGTGCCCAAGAAATTCCAATTCTCTCTTGCTTAAGATCTCGATTTTCTTGGTTCAAATGAAGAATCTCTAGAGAAACTCCGAATTTTGCCTCATTTTTCCTTCCAAAATCCCATATAAAGGTCTTGAAATCGAGTATATAATGTATGTTTTTGTATACAAGCTCCTATGTTTCTACAATAGATGTACTCTGTATCCATAGTCCTCAAGATAGGTTAAATCAGTGCATAAATCCCATTCCTTATAGAAGTTGACTTAAGTTTGGAAACAAAATCTTTTTTGTAAATGTGAAATTAAAGAATAAATGCATTTGAACTGCATCTGTTGACATCCCTTCATGACTAATGACCTTGCATAAAAGTAGGAAAGCTCAATTGTGAACATCATGATTTTTTACGTGCTTGATTCTAGAATAAATTGATTACATACGATCAAAGATGGTAGTTAACTAGCTAGAAAGGAGGGTATATATTTTGTTGGACTGAGTAAGAGTTGGAATAAATTTATTTGTATTATTGACAATTGAAAATCTAATTATATTCAACTTTCTCTCTCGAGTCAAGTCAAACCCATTCTAAGCACGACCCGATTATTATCACTAATTTATATGCAAACTAATGCATTCATTTACATTATTATCTATATAATTGCATACTCAATAAATTCCATCTCTGAAATTTATTGATATGTGTGTTGACCTTGCAATGTTCTAAACTTATCATCAACCTCCCGATAATATAATAAGCAACCAATTACCTAAAGGTTGTGCAAACATTCAATTAATTTAACCAGGCATACAAGATCAATCAAGAACTAAGATTTTTCATCTTTATCCCAACAAGAAATAGATCTAACCTAGCATGTTTCTAATAAAATTACTATAAAAGTTGTGAAAATTCATCACCTGGAATGCGGAAATGCAATAGAGAGATGTGAAGTCTATTTTTTGTTTTTGATTTTCAATCTTGAGTCTTGAATCTTCAACTTTTTGATGTTAATTGCCTTCAATTCCTCTCTAGACTTGTTCTTCTCCTCAAAGTAAGATATATCAACCTCCCTTACTTTTAAGATTTTTATGTTATGTATGATATAAGGGACCATATCGTTATGTACTCACGGAGGATAAAATTAGTTCAATAATCATGTCCAAAGTGATTTTTCAA